CCGTCACAGCGGCCAGGCACTGGTTCAGGACTTGGACAGCCTCCTTAGCATCTGGTGGAAATGAGTGATAGAGTTGGATGTCATCTGCGTACAGATGGCATCGAACTCCAAAACTCCGGATGATCTCACCCAGCGGCTTCATGTAGATGTTAAACAACATGGGGGACAATACTGAGCCCTGCGGGACCCCACAGGACAATGGCTGTGGGGCTGAGCAGGAGTCCCCCAGCAACACCTGCTGGGTACAACCTTCCAGGAAGGACTGGAGCCACTGTAGAACAGTACCTCCAAGACCCATCCCCGTGAGGCGCCCCAGAAGGATACTGTGGTCTATGGTATCGAAGGCCCTGAGAGGTCCAGGGGAACCAACAGGGACACACTCCCCCTGTCGAGCTCTCTGTGGAGATCATCCACTAAGGCGACCATGGCTGTCTCAGTTCCATGTCCCGGTCTGATACCTGACTGCGACTGATCCAGATAATCAGTTTCGTCCAAGAACCCCTGGAGCTGCGAAGCAACCACACGTTCCAAGACTTTGCCCAAAAAGGTGAGATTGGAAACTGGACGAAAGTTGTTCAAATCAGTGGAATCCAGTGATGGCGTTTTCAACAGCGGTTTTATCACAGCCTCTTTTAGGCTCGCTGGACTTTTGCCCTTCCGAAGAGAGGCATTCACCACCACCTTGACCCACTCTGCCAACTCCCCTCCGGCTTTATCAGCCAGGATGGGCAGGGATCCAGGATGCATGTGGTCGCCCTCGCCTCTCCAAGAATCTTGTCAACGTCCTTGGGTTGTACAAATTGAAATGAATCCATTAAAACTGGACAAGCAGGTGCTCTTGCTACATCTTCAGAGACTGCAGTAACTGTGGCGTCCAGGTTGGAGCGAATCAGAGCGACTTTATCTACGAAGAACTGAGCAAATGCCTCACAGCGACCAGGGACCCCGTCATGGGTGGCGGGGTTCAACAAACCTCTGACCTTTTGAAACAGCTCAGCTGGATGATTCCTCATGAATGCAATGTTGGCAATGTGAGATTTATTTGCAGCCTTCACTGTGGCGAAGTATGCCCTTGCATAGGTGCACGCCTGTGTTTGGTCTGACTCTCTGCAAGATGATCGCCACACGCCCTCTAGGACTATCTTAATGGGCCCTCCACCTCTGCGGAGGTTAGGGAGGCCAGTAAGTCTAAACTTGACCCAGTGGTGGTTGGTCCATAGCAGTGGGACTAAAGAGAGTTCTTCCACTCCACTACCTTCCTCCCATCCCTGACAGAACACCAAGTCCAATGTATGTCCAGCACTGTGAGTAGGGCCAGAAACCACTTGGGACATGAGCTGCTCCCAACAGGGAAGTCTCTGCATGAACATTGAAGTCCTCCAGCACTATAAGCCGTTGGGACTCCAATGCCAGGCCCAAGATCACCCTGGCTAGCTCAGGTAGGGAGGTTGTAGTATTGCGAGGTGGTTGGTACACTACAAGTATCCCTATTCTGTCCCGGTCTCCTACTCTCAGGTGGACACATTCAAATGAGGGTGTCTGTGGGATGGGGCATCTGGTCAAGAAGATGGAATCACTATAGACCACTGCAACCCCGCCTCCAGATCTCGGCTGATGCTGCACAGAGTAGCCTGGCGGAGAAAGCTGGGTGAGATTAACACCCCCAGCCTCATCCAACCAGGTCTCTGTTATGCACGCCAGGTCTGCATCCTCATCCAGAATCAAGTCCTGGATGATTACAGTTTTTTCATTTACAGACCTGGTATTCAACAGCACCATCTTTAACCTGGAGGGACTGCCATCTTGGTTACCCAAGTTCACCATGTCAGGAGACCATTTTTGGGAGTTGTTTTGGCACTACCAATTCTCTCACACAATAACCTTATCTCAATTAAGGGTCCATGTGGCACATCTAATATAAATAGCTATAACTAGGACTATATTTGCCCATTTCAGTAAAAACAGAAGCCTGCTGCTGACATCATCAATCTCAACCATTGCATCAAGCCACCCATCTAAAAACCCTTGAAGAATGTCTTTTCCATTGTTCATGCTCACCCACTATATTGCCTCTATCTTTGTCTAGATTTGTTGAAGGGGTTCTTTAGGACCTACCTTTAGGAAAATAGTATCATCTACTCAAGAAAGTTCATAGAAAGTGATCTCTCATCACATTCCCCTGCCCCCTGCCTTTCTTTTGCTAGTTTATCTTCCATGTCTCATTCAGTTCTCCCCACCAAAAAACTAACCATGTGATATCCAGTGCCAATGTTCTTAATATGTCAAACTGTCTGAATATTATACCTAACTGAAGTTGCATGCTTCATTAAAAGAACATACTCAAGACCAGATTATCCTAACCTAGCCCTCCAGATGTGTTGGTTACAAAACTCAAGAGGCAATGTTTGTCTAATTATTACATCTGGAGAACACCAGGTTGGGAAAAAGCTGCCGTAGGGTACGGAGCTACTCCCACATGTTCATAATGTCTTTGTTGCTTAATCTGTTTCAGCTATGCCTAATTTTATATGTTCTTTGGCCAGACATTAAATAGAAATGGTTCAGTCTCCATTATATGCTGAATTTGAATGAAACAGAAATTTTAAAAATACTTGTTTGACAAGGATTTTTTTGAAGACACATCTTTTATGTTGGGTGATATTTTATACAATGATAAGCCCTGGCACTGCTTTTAAGTGTGCACTTACAACAACTTGAAATGATATCAACTGGACACTTGTATCTAACTTGTAAATCACTGTAATGAATAAAGCAAATGCAGATCGGGAATTCAACAGTATAAAGGCCACTGATTGTGCTTTTTGGGGGCAGGGGTGGGTTTGTTGTCTTAATAATGTTGTAGAAAGCTGCTGTTAGCACTCTTACTTTCTATTAGCTTTCAAGTTTTCATAAGATTATTGCCCTGTACTAGCCTGCAATCCACAGAAATCAATTACAGACTAATTACTTCCTTGTTCTAATTAGTATGCTTGCCGAAGGGCAGAAAGGACACCTCCAAATTGATGGCTAAGTTTGACAACTGAGTGTGGGTGGTCAAGGCTAATAAAAGTACATACAAGTCATATATCAAAAATAGGAAGCCTAAATTTAACACAAGGTAGGTGTGATAACAGCATCACAATTCAGCATCCTTCCCTTCTTCTCCCCTCTGTTCTCCTCCCCACCCGCTTCCCCATCACTTCTCTGGGCTGCCTGAAAACAGGGTCCAGGAAAAGTGAACTATGTTCATAGACCTCTAGAAGATTTTTTCAGGCTTGTGTGTGTGAGAGTGGGTGCACAGGAAACTAAGATCTTGATTTCTGCTTCTGCTGGTTTCCTCTGTTCACACATTAAAAATCCAGCTGTAGATCCTGCACAATTTGATAAGAAGTTTCATGTTGCTTTATTTTTTCCTCTTTCTTTCCTCTTATTTTATAATAAGCTGGACAAAATGAGTTGCAAACAATTACATATTACTTTCCCATATACTGTATATGTATGTGGGTGGAATTGACTACACATTTCTACTTAGAGCCAAAAATCTATCAATTTATTCCTGGGATGACATGTAGGGATGAAGCCCAAGATTATCTGCAGACAATTAAACTTTTCCCTATGGGATATGTTGGATATGAATGATATGTAACAAAGCTGACCCAAAATGGATTCTGAGATCTAGAATGATGTAGTAGTTAAACTGCTGGATGTAAATCAGAGAGATGTGCATTTTAATAGTCCTGAAGTTCACTGGGTGACTTTGGTCCAGTCACACTTTCTTTAGAAACTCCATATCTCTCACAGAGTTGAGTATAAATTGAGTCAATTCATATCTATATATGACATCTTGAGCACACTGAAAGGATGAAAATGGAATTAATAGGAGCAAATTATGAGAAAGCTTCTATTCATGAAAGATTTTTTTGTCCAATATGCATGAAGAAATGTCACAAAATGGCATTGACTGACTGTCCCTCCCTCCCAATCAGGAGGTATAACCCATATGTAATTAGATCCAACGAGGGAGATTTAATGAATAGTCAGGGCTTTCACATATCACAAAATCACTCCAATGACTTCTGAGATGACTCAGTTTTGTAACGACGAGATCTACACAATGGAAAGAATACTACAGAAAAGTAAGAAAGAATGATGATTATAATAAACTAAGAGCCATGCAGTATTTGTTTTTACAACAATCAGACAGCCTTCCTCAGATTTGAAATGCACAATTTTTGCTTCTCCTGCAGAATGTACAGACAGTAACATTTTAAAATTAGTACAAATCACCATCTGGCTAAAAAAAAAAAAATAATAATTATTTTAGGTGTTTCAACCGAATCCCAAAGTTGGCTAACATAAGTCACCAGATACAGAACACTTAGGATTTTTTTAAAAAAAAACAACCAAATCCATAACATTTCATGGGTGAAGCAAAACATTTGAGTTGAAGGAGAGAAAACAAATTTAGAGTCTGACAAATTAAATTCTGATTTGTTGATTCCAGGATTTGCTTTCTGCCAGTACAACTCTGCTAATCCTTTGATTTCACATGATAATAAAACATTGCCTGGTGCTGAAAAAGTCTAAGAAGCTATGTGGTACAACCTCTTTGAGAAATAGAAACCATTGTGGAGATCCCATCATGGGTAAGCCCCATGATTCCATAGTCTCATAGCTCTCACTGATGAAAGGATTTCTGATAAAGGTAATAATAATCACAGAATCAGAGAGCTCGATAGGACCACAAGGGCCTTCTAGCCCAACTCTTTGCAATACTGGAATATACAACCATTAGAGAGGAGTCCACAACCCTTTTCACATGAGGTTTGGTTTCCAGATATGTGAAGACAACAATATCTAATGTTATATATACATTAAGACAGTTTTTGTATACCAACAATTGGTATGTGTCACAAAAGAAAGATATAGTAAGTAATTGAGCAATCAAAGAAAGAAAGAACTGAACAAAAAAAGAGAGAGAAGAAAACCCATTTCATTACCTCAGTGATACGTGGATTGGAGCATTTGACATTCCTACTTGACCAGTCAAGCCACCTTCCCCATCCACCAATTGGAGAAGGGCAGTGCTGACGCAAAGTGCATTTTCCTTCTCCAGTACACCAGCCACACTCAAATTTCTGATCTGCTTTCAGGCACAACCCACAGCTTTCCCTTTGAGCTGCACATTTGTAGAGATGAACTGTAAAGATAGAAATAGGAGGGTGAGTGACAAACAGCATGATCCTGCCAAACCAAATGAGATACATTTGCTAGAAAGTATGAACTGAAGTTTCTGCTGATTCCTGTATGAACTTAGTCATTAACATTCTTGGTTTAGCCCATTTACCAGTCATCCTGTGAAGTTAGACAACATATGTTTATTATCCAACCATGAACCCAATGCTAACTCTATTATTTGGTTGGCTAGGGAAGCTTCTTTGGGTCATATGGTGACCTCTGTACAAAGTAAATGTTAAAGATTACAACTAGCTCTTTGGAGTTTGAAAACCATAATAATCATATTCTTTTTGTTATATGGTGCCTGGTGAATCTTCCTTTTCCAAGATTGAAGATTTTCCCAGACTCATGTTTTGTTACAGAATCCATACATGACAAGGCCTAAAATGTAGGCATTCTATAGTACTACCCCATCCAGATTTCTAAACAATATCTTCAAATTTTAGCCACCTGTGACTGATATAGTTTTCATAGAAAAAATATAGCTGTGCATTATAAACAAATCTCAAACATATTGGCTCAAATAGTGTTTCATGGTAATTTTCTAACTAACAAAGCTGTAGAGAAGCAGATATGACATACACAAATTGTTAGCAGGTTGATCCCAATTTGGAGATTGAAATGAGTTTGTGGGGAAAAAATGTGCAAAGTTAGCTCTTCTGGAAAACCTAGTATTCTGGCTATTCAATGAGATCAGAATGCATCCATCCAATGCAATGAAAAAATAAAACAAAATAACAGATAAAATAGGCACTTTTAAAATTCTGGCATGGAGGCTTATGAAGGAAGCATTTAACATTCACTATCAAACAATTTTCAGAGAGACAGTAATAAGGATCCTGAGGTGCTCTCTCTCCAGTTTTATGTAAATGGCAGGAGCCATGTTACAACCAAAAACAGAACTCAAAAACTATGTTAAAGGTTATGTAAGGTCTCTGCTTGTGCAGGAGAGTTTGTACAATGTGGGTATATAAACTTTTCTCCTTCCTGTTGAACCTTTCCACAGATGTTCTTAGATATTATTTCTTCCATGCCTGATTTGGATGGCAAGCTTCAAAACCTCTTTGTTTAGTTTCCTCTGCTGATTTCAACCAAGAAAGACCTCATTGAAAACAATGTCTCCATTCCCAGGGAGCCTGGCAGGACTTCCAATATATCAGGTTCCACAGTAAATGTCAAAAGTGCTCAAAAGCAAAACATTGCTCAGATGGGAACAAACAGGACCCACTAAATGGATGTCCTTGCTGCCATAAAAATCAGATTGTTTAATGGGTATTCATTTCATGGAGCAAGTCTGTTGTTTTCACAAGGCTTGCTTTGATCTGAACTGCCAGAGATTTAGTCTTATAACAACTGACTTGGATACCATGTGTATTTTTCTATGCATTCCACCTGTACCAGCAGGCACCATTAAACAGCTTTTCTTGTAAATTAAGCAGAGATTTACCCAATCAAACTACATATTTTTAAGCATACAATACATGCTGTTTGCAATCAACTTGAGTAAATAAATACATGACTACAGATCTTGTTCATGGTTCAGTGTAAATGGTGACCAGTGTTTACAGCCTTTATACTTTAAAGGGCTGTCAAATGTGGATTGGCTTTATATAAAGTTGTCATAATCAAGCAATGATGCAACAACAGGAAGGAGACAAGGGCTACAATTTAACATTTGGGATTTTTATCAAACTTCACTTTCTCCAAAGAAAATTTCATGTACATTTTCTATAAATGAAGTGCTGTATAATTGAAATACATTAGGAGAAACAGATGTGCATCTACATAACCAACAAACTCACGGCTGAATTAGAGCCTACATCAATGACTTTAATCTTAAATATTAAACATAAATACCTGCTGAGTGTAAAGGAACACAAATGTACAAAATTATTCAATTTATTCCAATTACTTGTAAAGATAGAAGGGTTGTTTTTAGAAAGAGAGTGAAAAGTAGCAAAGGCAGTAATGCCTAAACTCATAACGAATGTCTTCGTTTTTTCTATCCCCCAGGTGTCAAAGGACTTCATTCTTAAAGTACAGATGTCAGGAAATCCAGAAGTGGAGGAAAATGAACTTCCTCTGTTCAGAAAATTATTAGCCAAACTAAAGTCTCATTTCAAGTCTGGCTTTTGCTCATACTCCATTTTCTGACAATCATCTGAACCCAATAGCCCAAAGCAAATGTACTTGGGAAGGAGTTGTTAGCGGGGGAATAGTAAAAGGGCAAGAGATGGTAGACTGTAAACTTTTTTTATCCTGGATGTTTCCAAGAATGCTCAAGAGTATAGTTGTCTGACAGTGTGCATGCTGTTGTATTTTTCATTTCTTTCCAGTGATTAATTCCAGAGACACTGTAAACTACAACTCCCATGTAACCCAAGAGGAATGAACTTGCCAGAGGAAAAGGTAGGATGAGCACAAACATCAGGAGAAGCTATTCTACTTTCTAACAGTCTTTAATTCTCTAAAGAAAACCCTATTTGTCTGTTTCAAGCCTCACTACCTTATAACAGGAACATTAAGCAGAAGGGATTAATGTTTGAGGATGAAACCCCCACAGGCAGGGCATATACAGCACAATAAAAAGGTAGTTTTGCAGTGTAAAATGAACACATGTGTAAAATGAACACTCTGGTTGACACTTGAAGAAAAGAAGGGGTCCTCTGGAGGAGAAACTTCTTCTTAAGAAATACCACACAAACATCTGGTGTTGCCAACTTTTATACTGGTTTTGCTTATACTTCTTATAGGTTCTGAAATGTTGATATTTATAGTTTAGAGCATAATACTTCACACAGCTTACAAATAGTCCAGATGCTTATTCCAGTTCTTACCCTTACTATATTATTGAAAGTCCCAGGTTTCGTTCCTGTACAAACCAAGTTTATTGTGAAATCCATGTGATTTTATCTTTAACCTAAAGTATTTACTGGGAACTCTGGGCGTTATCAAGTGCTCTCAATTTCCAGTTCAGTATAAATTAACCTAATATTTTCCAAAATTAAATATATCTCTATTGGTTGCTTTTATTATCATGGAACCAGCTAAGATATCCACTCCCAGTAAATACAGCTGTTGTTTCCAGGACACTGTTTCAACAGAGCTCTAGTGAGGGAACCAGGAATATTTATATCAAAGCAAAATGATTCCAATATTTCACTATTATAATATTGCCAAAGCACCTTTGTACTTTGACTCTTAAACAACATCAAAGAAGCTCCAGTGAAAATTGGCAAAATTAATTTTGGAACTTTTGCATAAATCTAGATGTTTTATATGATTTGTAGAGGGGAAAAGAGCTGGAAGAACACAAGGCGGAGGGAGAAACTAGGATTTATTTCAAGAAAAAGTTTAGATGTAATTCTAAAACAGGTAACATCAAAACAAAAAAGAATCCTACTTCCAGATACTTTTTTTTCTGTTCTGGGTGAACAGTTATAGTTAAAATATAATTGATCTGTCTCTCTCTGATTAAAATAATGTAAGTGTGTGAATCTTTAATTGGACACATCTGCAGTCAGATTTGCTAGGTCTGAGAATCAGAGAAATATAATGTTGTGTTATAAAAAAGAGTATTTATTTTACTATTGTAAAAAAGCAACTGCAAAACCCTGGCTGTCCACAAGTCTAGAAATAAACAATCCTGGTGTTGTAGTTCAGCCAGGAGCCCCCGGTGGCACAGTGGGTTAAACCCCTGTGCCGGCAGGACTGAAGGTTGCAAATTCAAATCCGGGGAGAGGCGGATGAGCTCCCTCTATCAGCTCCAGCTCCTCAAGAGGGGACATGAGAGAAGCCACAAGGATGATAAAAACATCAAATCATCCAGGCGTCTCCTGGGCAACGTCCTTGCAGACTGCCAATTCTCTCACACCAGAAGCGACTTGGAGTTTCTCAAGTCACTTCTGACACGACAAAAAAAAAAAGTTCAGCCAGAGGCTGAAGGTGATGGGTTTGTTTTATCAGAGGTTGTGAGGACTGATGGGGTTTCCAGTGAGGGCAACGAGGGGATTTTAGATCAGGATTCTGCCTGGAAGAATGGGCTTGTGTCTGGTGAGAGTGAAACAGCTTCAGAACAGAGCAGACAGGGAGATGCTGTGGCATCAGACAATAGGGAGAACCTTTCCCCTAGTCATTTCTTAGCATGAAAGATAAGGAGTTGTAAGGGAGAGAAATTTCCCCTGAGAACACACTTGCAGTCAGTAGGAGTTTGAGACCCAATCTCCAGGAGGATGGAGCCAAATTACGGAGGTCACAATTCGTGAGAAACAGGGTGAGAAATGCTTGAAGCAACAGAGCAGATCTCAAAGGCATGACTTCATGGCTTTGTGGTCCTTAAATTAAAGGATTGTTTTCTTAAGGGTGAGATCAGACAACACTGCGTTACCGTGTGGATCTTGGGTCTTGTTTCATGTTCACATCTATGTCTAAGATCTTTGGGAAAGTATGGTATTCATGTTCATGGATTCGTGTTTTTAAGAAGTTCCTTTATTCCTCGTTTTGGATTTATGCCTATGTTTTGATTCCTGGGTTTTTCCTATATCTTGTTATTTTTGAACAGAACTGTGCTGTTTGGATGATTGCTCCTTGAATGCCTTTTTCCTGTGCTTGTTGGACATTGCTTTTTGGACATTGCTGTTTATATTATCTTTTGCCTTTCAAATTTTCTTTTTGCAATAAATTGCTTAGTTAATACTATTGGACTCCTGTGTGGTGTTGAGTGTAAAGGTGAATCCAGGCTGGAGTGCAACACCTACTCTTAGTGAAACAATACCTTTTATTAACCAACACAATTATCGCAAATGGTTGAGAAAAGAACCTGAAAAAATCCTTTTGGACACCTATCTAGCCCATAATGTTCATCAACTGAAAGACATTAAAATAAACTAAGAAGTCTTTACCTTTCAAATCCTCTGGGTTGTCAATAATGAAGTTCCCATTCCACACCACAGCAAAATCTACTGCTAAGTTACTTATGTCCATTCCATCATAGAGGTACTATAGAAGAAGGAAAGTAAATATATTTATGTAGCCTTTATATGAGAAAAGGAGGGAAAGAGCCATTATATTTAAAAGAGATGTTTGACAATGCACAGGTCAGAAAACAGTGGCAAGATCTAACTGACTGCCATTTTTAACATATATTTCTATCATCTGCATGGAAAGAGACGCTTCTTGCCATAGTGGGATAATTAAACGAGCTGACAAACCTGGAGAGAGGAAATAGATTAATTATCCAGTTCATGCAGACTGTTCTCACCAGTCAATCCTTGGTTTGCCAATAAAACCCCTTCACCAACAAAAGAATTAATGAGAGGAAAAATAAAATGTTAACAGTCCAAAGAGAAAGCACATTGGGTTCAGAATAGAATATTTAGAAAGAATGCATACTTGGTTGGCTGACACTCTAAATATTTTGCTGCTAGCCTCTCTTTCAAGAATTTGAATAACACCCAAGAGCTATCATTTGCACATTAAACTAACGTAAGTATTAGGAGTTGGTTTATCTGATATCTTCTGATTGCCTATAGTAGTTTAATTGCTCTGTGTGCATGTGTATGTCTACCCAGCTACTATTTCTTTCTCTCTTTTGGCATATAAGATCTGTTTTACACATTACTTTTCCCAATAAGAAGGTTAAGCCCATTATAACTAAACTTGTGCATTTTATAACAAAACTATGACACAGATGTCATTTGGGCTTCACAGTTTCTGCTGAGGAATTTCTTTAAGTAGCTCTGAGGCATTAAGATCAAAATGTTACAGAAAAGAAATGAAACTAGGCAATGAGAAAGTAGTTTGACAGTACTATAAACTGTAATGCTTCCTCAATGCCTTTGCACCTTATCCTCCAGTTCTTTCTGAGGTGTGACCTAATCAATATCTTTCAATGAACACTAAAAATGTTCTGTCTTGAAAGTATCACCAAAGTCACTCACTTGCCTAGAAAGTCCAACAGCACAAAACCAACCTGAGTTCCAAGATTGCCATCAGCATGGAACGAGGTAGGTGCTGTGTTGACAAACTCAGATGGAATTGAATAATAACTTATTTGGAACTTTTATTAGTTTATTTTATTTCCATACTTTGAACTTTAAAAGGAACCAAAGCTTTGAATTGTGTTACAGTACACACACAACTGCCTTCCTCTTAACCACCGAGAGAGTTTGCTTACCCAATATCATGCAATGGGTTTCCATGTCTGAGTGGGGATTTGAACCCTGGTCCTCCAGAATCATAATCCAATACTAAAATTATTACACCATGTTGGATCTCTTTCTACCACAATGTCTCTTTGTACAGCTCTCTGTACGTAGAGAGGCATCATGGTGGAGAAAGTTACAGCATGGTGTTGGAGTTTGAATATTGAACTAAGATTCTGGATGACTAGGATTCAAAACCCCACTCAGGCAACAGAATTTATTGAGTGAGCATGAGCAAGTTAAATGATCTCGGTCTTATGAGGAAGATGCTAGTAGAACCCTAAATAAGAACTAGTCGAGAAAACCCTATGATAGGGTTGCCAGGCATTGGACATAATAACCACAACAACTGTGACAATGTATATCCCCTTTGAGCTTTTTACAAGAAAGGGGAGATACAAACAGGAATAAACGGATTGCGTCATCCATGTAAGAATTAACTATGCCTTTGGTATTCTTGGCAACCTTATATTTGTGACCAAGTCTCCTTGAATTCATGTCTCAGAAAACATTGATAGGATTGTTGTAACTGTCCGAATTCTTGGGATATTTTTTAAAATGTTGTGAGCTCTGAATTTCTATGTTCCAGTCATTATTTAAGATCTTATTGTCTTCAATATCGCTAAGCAACCAGTGATGTTATTTATATACTTCTAGAAAGCATATGGATTTGTATCTCTGGCATCACCCCAATGGTAATTTTTGCTTGCCTTTGGAACAAAGCCCCCATCTATATAGTCAGTATATATTCATATAATGTAGTTTAATTGCAATGAACTGCATTATATGCATCTACACTGCCCATATAATGCAGTTTTAATCTCTCAAGTATTTTTCTGGCACTATAAAAACAATCATAATAAACCGAATAACCCACAGCATTTATGGGTTATTCAGTTTATTATTATTGTTTTTATAGTGCCAGAAAAATACGTGAGAGAGATCTGCAACAGGTAGCAAATGATATGACTGGCCTAGGTTATTATGCAACTTGACAGTCAAGGCAGGGGGGCTATTTGCTATTCTGTTTGGGGCAGTAAAATACCTGAGACCCACCATGTTTCCAGGAACAAAGTGGCAGTAGCAGTCTAGACTCCAGTAATTTAAGGGAGATTATTTTTCATGCCTTTCTTCGCTCTCTTTTCACTTGCCTGCTCATTCCATCCCTTCTCCCGGTAAGAGGCAGCTTTCCAGTATTACACATTCTATCAGACTACAGTGGCCTGGAATTTGACAGCTGCCTGATAAGACGGCCTGCAATTCTCTTTATCTCTGGTGTGTGAATTAGCTTTGCCTTAACACCTTTGTCACATCCCCGCCCCAACTCCCCCTTTCCTGACCCCCCACAGTCACAGACGGGAAGCTGACAGATAAAAGATCTTCTCTGGGGCCAGGATTCTAATTAAACACCTCACTTGCCTGTAGCACATTCCCGCCTGGAATTCAGGCTTAGTTTAACCCCCTCCCCCTCTTTTTAAAAATTCATCTCCCCGAATAAATGTTTCCCCACACCTTTCTCTTGTGCTATCTACATTTGCTTCATTCGTAGCTTCCCCAGCTAAGATGGCAGTGTCTTAGATACTCCAAACACTACTGAATGTACGATATTCCTCCACTTATCAAGAATTACCAAAATGCATTTTTCACTTCCAAAGGAAGTTATAATGCTGGAAAAAAAGTTCCAAGCACACTACATAAAAAAGCTGTGGCATTAAGGAATAGGCAGTCATGATGAATAGAAGAGGTTAGTATCCAATACTTGGTAGTTAATATGTCAGTTCCTAGGAGATTGCACAGTTTCTAATTGATTTTTTTCTGTTACATTGGAAGCCACTCTACAACTCACATGGCATCAATTTTACATTTATTTATTTGTAACAGGACAGCAAAAAGGATTCACAACTCCCAGACAGGGCAGCCATTTTCTTTGAGGCTTTGTATTAAATAATTAACTATCATCCTATGAAAATCTATCAAGTTGCTTCAGTCTCTGATATAATCACGTAATTTATTGATTAAGGTGAGGCCATTGGGAGTGAAGAACAGAATTCTGGTATAATTGTTGATAGAAATGGAGCTGTTGATCCATTTCTGTTGGGACTAATCATTATATAAAGACTAGCAAAGCTATTTTTCCACCTGTGTGAGCCCAGACATTAGTCATTAACAATAATTGGTCCATCTGCCAGATATCTGAAAGGAGAGCCAAATAACAATGCTAAATCCTCATACCGATAAAATCTAGATACTTGAATATTGATAGTATCATTCAGCTATTTCACATTATCCAAACATATAGTATTCAATATGTTTGATAATGCATTCTACTTTTTGTGTAGCCCTTTCAGACAAAATGAATGTATAAAACTAAAGTGACTGGAAAGTAAGGCCAGGTTTAAAGACTTCTGTACGCTGTGCATAAATCTGTGCCTTGTGGGACTTACCAGCTTTCCGCAGGGCATGTAAGACATACCTGTTTCGACAGGCTTTTAATGTTTGATACTGCTGTTTTTAAATTGTTTTAAATTGCTTTTAAATTTTGTTAGATTTTAGCCATTCTTGTAAGCCACTCTGAGCCCCAGGGGAGTGGCGGCATATAAGTTCAAATAATAAATAAATAAAATAAAAAATAAATGTCTAAAATTGTGGGAGCATCCTTCTCACAAGTTGATCTGGCGTGAAAAGCATTCATTTCTTTCTCGTGTTGATTTTCTTTTCAGATTATTTCCCACAAGTCTGTAATTGAGACTCACATTCTGGTTTTATTTTTTTCCAGGGAGGAATGATAGTCACCCTTTCTAGTGAACTCAATATTCTAGAATACTCACCAATAAAAGAAAGAATTTTGACCCTAAATTCAAGGAATTAGCTGGAATTCTATACTGTTGCTGCAAAGTATAATTAAATGATTGTTCTGCACTATTTTAGTTGAAGTGAATTTCTTGTTTGAGATTTAAGTATTTTTGAGAGACCAGTTGGTACTTCCTTTGTTGAAAGGCAGACTAGAACTACTGTGATACCCACAATTCTGTGACAAGAATTCCTTTCACACATAGTCCTTTTTTCTTCCAGGGATATCCTTCTGCCTCTTCCCCCCAGCTTCAAATCCCCTCACTTTACCGAGCTGTTCTGGCACTGGACACTTGAGCTGTTGAAACGAAGAGCAGGTACACGATGAATCACGCCTTGGATGTTGAGGACACACTCATATCCACGCTGGCCAGACTGAGGTTGAGGTAAGTTTTTAGCTTTCAGTGTAATGGGCTTCACCTCACCGACAGGAATCAAAATCTCTTCTGTGGGGAAAAGCTGTGGGCAGTCCTGGAAAATATATACAAAAAAGAGGTATTCAGGAAAATATGTGTGAATGGCTTTGAATCTTAATGGCGTATATGGAGTTTCATCTTGTCACCATGCCCTCTATTGCAAGAAGCTGATCTTACATCTGGTTGTCTCAAAAATCTGTTTAACACTCAAAATATAAATGATCATCTAGAGCTGGCTGGAGGATTTGTTTGTTTGTTTACTTGTTTGGCTTGGTATGAAAGGATGCCAGGAGGTGGGATGCCCCAATTCACTGCACTCTATGTGGGGCTGCCTTTAAAGAGCGATTGGATGCTTTAGCTGGTGCAGGGATCAGCAGCCAGGTTACTAACAGGAGCACCGTACAGGGAGAGAACAATTCTCATGTTACGGCAACTCCACTGGCTCCCAGTTTGCTATCAGGCAAAATTTAAAGTGCTGGTTGTTACCGTTAAAACCCTAAATGGTTTGGGTCCAGACTACCTGACCAATCATCGCCTCTCCTCATTTGAACCTGCCCTGTCACTGTGCCCATCAGGGGAAGCTCTCCTCTTAGTCCCACCCCCATCTCAAACCCAGTTGGTGGGGATGAGTGAGAGGTCCTTCTCTGCCCCTTGCCTCTGAAACTCTTTCCTGAAGGATATCAGAATGGCCCCATCGCTGTCCTCCTTTAAGAAGCCAATAAACATCTTCCTATGTACCCAGGCTTATGGAAATGCGAATGGTTAAAGATCCGGCCTTATGAAATAGGAATGTAATATGGACATGGATTTTAACCCTGTTTTATTGATATTGTTTTTAATTTGTTATTATTGTTTCTCTTCTGATTTATATAATTATTGAATGTGCTGTATTGTCTATTGGAATTTTGTTAATTTATTGTTCCATTTTTCAATGGCATTGAATGTTTGCCTTTCATGCTGTGAGCCACCCTGAGTCCTCATAGGGAAACAGGGCAGGATAGAAATAATTTTTTACTTAATTACTTACTTACATTTGGAGGAGGGGTTTGGGTTTAAAATGAAATGTGATCTGCTTTACAGAGGACAACCCAATGAGCAATGGGTGTTCTCCAATTATTGACAGGAAATGCCACCAACCCTAGTTAGCACAATCCTAAGAAATGTTGAGCTATTCCAGTAACACCAGGAATCTGTCTTCTCCTGTTTGTAAATTTGAACGGCTGAGAGAAGACAGAAATCTGTTTAAAATAATCTTATATTTTCTAAGTCTAGGCTGAAAATAAATAAAAATAAAATATCAACAAGATACCCATCACCAACTGGCACCTGGATAGCAGAATGAGCAGATATACCTGAGGACACCTTCCCCCACTTTGTTGAGGAGCATTTTATTTCCACATTAATGGTAGTAATGTCATCTACATTTCCATCTATACATATAAATTAACGTATTTAAATGCTATATAGGTATCTATCTTTTTTAAATAAAGTCTAACTGGCCACCCTAGGATTACAAGATCCCAAACCTTGCTCTAGAGCAATTTCTCATTAAATTAGTAAACAAACCAAACTGTCATCATATTAAATATATTTCATTTAGACAGGTTAGTCATCAGCTGGAGACACAGGAAGACTCCTCTGGAATGATTTATGAATAAACACAACAGTGACAGTGAAGTCAAGAGTCCCATTGACATTTTTCAACAAAACGGGCTGACTTAAGAACACAGTGTTTGTGTGGATTTAAGTCATCTGTTGATTTATGGCAATTCCATGAATTTCATAGGGTTTTTTTTTAATGCAAGGAATACTCAGAGTTGGATTTGTCAGTTCCTTTTTCCAAAATATAGCCCACAGCACTTGGTGGTCTCAAATACAGGCAGTTCCTGAATTACAAACACCTAACTTCCAAGCTTGCGCGTGTGTGTGTGTGTGTGGAGTCACACTTAAAAGATATACCTGTTCCAACTTAAATACAAATTCATCTTAAGAACAAACCTATAGAACCCATCTTTTTCATAACTTGGGGACTGCCTGTATTAACCAGGACTGACCCTGCTTAGCTTTCAAGATCAAATATACTCTCATGCCTTTAGGGTATTTAGAACATAGAGCTCCTTTCAAAATGGGGGAAATCTTTGTAAAAAGAAAGATTCACTCCACTTAGTGCATAAATAGATCACAATTTTCACACCAATGAATGTAAACGTTTAACAAATACATTGGTGTGGCATATTAATCTACTTTGAGAGCCTCTTTTCATTTGTAATAATTTATTTTATTTAGATAGCTCCAGTAACAAGAAAACAGAAATATATAATTCACAGCACCCACAACTTTCAGAATAAATCACTCATCCAATTACACACTGTGCCCTGAAGCATGATTTGTTAACAGCAAATACCAGGAGTTACATTTGCTAATTAACAAATGAAAAGTTTCAGCTCATGACATCACAGTTTATGTAATACCCTGTTTTCCTGATGTTCTGAAAGAATCAATAGATTTTTTTTTTAAAAAGGTTACATATTAAGGCAACTTTTTGTTTAGATTATTATGAGCAATCAACTAGATTCATTAGATGGAAACAGAACAGAGAACAGCCTATTCAAGATTGATTTTCCATTTGTCTTTTGGTTCCTGGGTTTTTATAATATTATGAATCCATTTATAAGCATTACTTGAAGAAGCTATTAGTACTTGGAAGTTGGAACTCAACATTCTTAGTTTCAATAACAACTGAGAGCTTACAATTGTAGTATTGAAAATAGCTACAATTTTAGGACTTGCGATAATAATGCAAGACTCAGTAATCAGTATGACCCATACACACAATTCTGCTGTGCAGCCATACCTATTATACTGAACATGGATTGGAATATAATCATAACAGTAATAATTATGTCCAATGATTGGGAATTATTTATTTATTTATTTATTTAAAAATTTTATATTCCACCCTTCTCACTCCGAAGGGGACTCAGGGCGGAGCACAGCATATCTATGGCAAACATTCAATGCCGGGACACAAATTCATATACACATACATAAACATTAAAAACATTTATCAAAATATTAAAATACATCATTTAAAACCATCCTAGTCATCCGCGTCAAATCTAATTGACCTGGTAATCTTTCTTATTGCTGCCTTATTGCCCCTTCCCAAAAGCTTGGTCCCACAGCCAAGTTTTTACCATCCTTCTAAAGGACAGGAGATCTCACCAGGAAGGGAGTTCCATAGTCAGGGAGCAATCACCGAGAAGGCCCTGTCTCTCGTCCCCACCAATCACGCCTGTGACAATGGTGGAACAGAAAGCAGGGCCTCCCCGGAGGATCTTAATCTCCATGATGGTTCATGGGGGAGATGCATTCGGACAGGTAATTTGGGCCGGGGCCGTTTAGGGCTTTATAGGCCAAAGCCAGCACTTTGAATTGTGCCCGGTAGCAAACTGGCAGCCAGTGGAGCTGGCGTAACATGGGAGTTGTATGCTCCCTGTATGCCGCCCCAGTTATTAACCTGGCTGCCTCTCGTTGGACTATTTGAAGCTTCTGAGCAGTCTTCAAAGGCAACCCCACATAGAGTGTGTTGCAATAATCTATCCTAGATGTAACGAGAGCGTGGACCAGAGTGGCCAAGTCTGACTTCCCAAGGTACGAATTGAAAATATCAACTTTAACTTTTTTCAAAAGAAGTGTCTAATTTAGGAGTGACCATCATGTTACGTTTGAACTGCATGCAGCCTCACTACGACCATTTTTGCACTGTACAAGGCACTAGGGCTGGGCGGTTTCGTTTCGTTAATTCGTAATTCGTTAAAAATTCGTTATTTTTTTTGTTAACGAAGCGATAACGAACCATTCTGGAGCAACTTAAAAACGAAACGAATTTTTCAATTCGTTTCGTAAATGCTTCGTATTTCGTTATGTATTTGTTTCGTTATTGGTTTGAGGTCGTTTCGTTATTATTTCCGCATGTCTGGGGCAAGTTTTATAGTTGTTTTTTGTTTAATTAGTGAAAAAAAATTATAATATCACACCAACAGTCAACAACAGAGGGAGAGGGAAGCTTCAGAAGTTCCCCCTGTCCCATTTGGAGGTTTTTTAGCGTATTGCGCGGTCGCGTCCGCCATTAACGAATCGATTCGTTATTGTTTCGTTATTGTTTTGTAATTTTTTTACCATTTACGAAATTTCGTAAATATCGAACTTTTTTTTTTAAAAAAATCGGAATTCTTTTAAATATCAAAACGCAAAAAACCTCAAAAAACGAATCGATTTTAGAAACAAATTTTTCCGTTGTTACCCAGGCCTACAAGGCACCCTTGAAAACTGCATCGCTATATCCAGAGTCAAGCTGATGATAAACAAAAATGCATTTTTATACTTTCCTACTGAATGTTGACAGTGTGGCTTCAGGGGTACCGGATGGATCACAAATGGCCTCCAGACCTAGTGGAGGTGCCTGTCTTTCGGGTACTTAAAAATGCTAACATTTTATTAGAACCTGCAATTACACACCCTCTCCAAATATTTTTATTTTCACAATATGTTCTGATATAACCCTTCTAAAGAGAACAAACAAACTTATAGAACTGATTTGCTTGTAACTTGGGGACTGCTTGTAATCTGGTATATCATAGCCACATGAGTGGAACAGATTTTTTTTCCTGTCATGCTTTTAAAAATTTCCTCCCTCTATGAAATTAAAAGAAAGGAAATTTCTCATATTAGGTCTATATATGCATAAAATGACTATGATCTGTGCAAATGTGTAAGAGTGCTACCGTACCCTGGTATTCCCTGTAGAGCTGGACCTTAGGGAAGGCTGAGCGAAGGAAGATCGATGCTTTTGAGCTGTGGTGTTGGAGGAAAGTTGCTGAGAGTGCCTTGGACTGCGAGAAGATCCAACCAGTCCATCCTCCAGGAAATAAAGCCCGACTGCTCACTTGAGGGAAAGATACTAGAGACAAAGTTGAAGTACTTTGGCCACATCATGAGGAGACAGCAAAGCCTAGAGAAGACAATTATGCTGGGGAAAGTGGAAGGCAAAAG